AATGATTATTTTCATTATTTTATATTAATCTGATGAAAACACACAAGTTGTACTATATATATAAAATAACTTTTAGGATAATAACAACTAATTTCACAAAATATCAACAAGATGTAAATTCAGTCTAAAATATTGATGAAAGTTAAAAAGTTTAAAAACCCAAATAATCAAATCGCTCAAAAAGTATGAGTCTGTGTGTGTGTGACTCACTGGAGGTAGCGTCCAAGCTCTTGCATGCTACATCTGGACCAGTGAAAGCGGTGGAAGGCAGCTTGCACCAGCGGAGCCATGATGCTGCCCATGTGCACCTCATCTCCGCAGCGGTTCCCCTGGCCATCGTGCTCCATCCCCAGCCTGCAGAGAGAGAGAGAGATACAATTCTCTCGTCAGATATTGGCTGAGGTGACCAACGGACCAAAACTGTAATAAATCAATACGGTCTTATAAGTGACTGCTTTGTAGTCTTTTGCTGTCCTGTGAGAGCCGGCTTGAAGACATCATTATGGCAAATGCACTTACACGTGTCCGGTCTCGTGCGCCACCACAAAGGCAGAGGAGAAACCATCCTCATGGTTCAAAGTGCAGCTCCTTACCGGATGGCACATGCCCGTCACTGGGGCGTAACCTAGGCAACCAGGAAGAGAGAGACACAAATCATCAGGATTTGTATATTCAATTTTGTGCTGTAGTGAAAGCTTTAGAAAGTGCAAAAACCTCTGCAATGTTTGAAATTGATGCTGAAACAGACTCGAGACAATCAGTTTTGTTTAATTTAATTTCAGTTTTGCATATTTTATTCTTCCAACACAAACTTTAATACAAATTGTACACAACTTGTATTACCTGTACTCACCCAGTTCATATTATCAATTATTTGATTTGTGTACATTTTCTTAATTTGAATTATATTTGCACAATATCTGAAGTCAGTATCTAGGGAACTCTTTAATTTGACTCTATATATATGTGCATTCATGTCAGTTGAGGGATATGTGAGACCTTAAATCTGAGACTTATCTATCTAAAGATATGCATAATGTATATTACTTACACATAGAGACATACAGTACTCTTTTACACACTCACACACAGACACACCTACACAAATGTGTGCATGTTTGTGTGTCTAATCCTAACCCTAAACCATCGCCTTCCACCCCTACATATGCCAATCTCCAACTCCCTGTGTGCTTCTTTGTCCCGTACTGCCTTTAATTGTGGGACTGTGGCTGGCCCTGCTCTGCCTATTGATTTTTCTGCTGCTGAAGGCTGAGACCAAGGGCAGCTGAAGGGCTTCTGGATAGCTAGGCCATTGCCTTTAGAGGCCTCTCCCCTGGGCCTGCCTGTTAGCCTGCACTCTGCTGCACAGAAAACCAGCAACCACCAAACCCACTATGCAGCTGTATGAGGCAAAGGCAGGGAGACGGGAGTTTTCTGTGCGTACTTATGAGTTTTAGGTCCTCAGGAGGGCAGGCACACAGTTTTGATGTACGTACACTATTCTAAAAAGAAAGGGTTCAGACAGTTATATGTTCGTGTCTTTCGTTACCCTGCATGCCCGTGGGGCCAAATTCCTGTCGTGTGAGGAAGATGGCGTGGTCGTGATACTCGGCGTCCCCTGTATCCTGCTTCTGCTGCAGGAAGGCCCAGCGACACACATTCTCCAGACTCTGAGATGGGTTCCCCAGTTCAATCAGACTCATAGACTGGAATAAGAGAGAGAGAGAAAGAGAGAGAGAGAGAGAAAAAGAGAGAGAAAAAGAGAGAAGAAGGTGTAAAGATTATACAAAAATGGGGAACTAAACAGACTTCTTGTTTCTGCTCTTATTTATTTATCCCTGTAGGGGGCAGTGTCACAATATTGTATATTGTCAGCACATCTTGCAAATTGCTGAGGTGTACAACACACTCAATCACTCACACACACACACACACACACACACACAGACCACACAAACAGACACAAACGCACACAATAATTCTTAGGATCCCGTAATCTTGATGGTCTTAATAATGAACATGACACTGACAGAGCTGCCAGCTATTAATGAGCTATGCACTAATAGTCAAAAACATGTCCAATTACAGAATATTTACTTATGATTAAATGCATAATACCAACACCCACACAAACACTCAGATGCCAGCAATTCCTTCTATTCACCTTCACCTCTCATTCTCTTCCTCATTAGGATTTCCGCTCCCTACCCCTTCCTCTCTACACTATGCTGTACGAGTCTTTCCATCTTTCACTGCTTCCTTTTCGCCTCGCTTTCTACATTTCCTCGCTGTTTTCACACATACACAATGCACAGCTGAATTAAACGGCAAAGAGTGAGTGTAGTGTGAGTGTGCTGCAGAGAAGACATATGGCCTGCCTCTGCTCAAACACCCCTTAAACCGAGTGCACTGTTCGTGTATGTGTGCTTTATCATGTTCATCAGGTGCTTGTGTGTGTTTCAGTGGGTTTTTATGATCTTTAAAGATGTATTTGTAATGATGTGTTGGTGTGTTGGTGTGTGTGTGTGT